AGTTAGGTCTTCGGATTCATCTCTCGATTGTACGTTGCAAAGTTCCGCTACATCTAAACCATCTCCAAGGTAAATTCTTATCAGATTTTCACGTAAAGTTTCAAAAAATAGCGAATATATAATCGACCTATGTTGCGATCCTCCATATGCTTTTCAATAGAATGTCATTTATCAAAAAAAACAAATATATATATGTTAAAAACAATATTTTGTGAAATTTTCAATTGTATAAATTACATACTTTCATGGTAAGTTTCAGTTTTGCATTGCTAGATATATTAAAAAGAACTACTTCAAATTAGATTTGGATCTAAACTATCTATATAACTAAAAATTAACTAGCTTTTGCTTCCTTTGTTCATGTCTCCTTGATTGTTTGCGAGCTCCGATCATCGTCGTAATTTATTTTGTTCAGACATCATCGGATTGTGTATTGGTGGTTTTTCTTTAGGTTTCAGGTTTTTTTTCCCCCATGTCTAGGGTTTGTGTGATTCGATCGCATATCTATATTTCATCATGCGTTTGACTCATGATGATTCTCACTTTCAGGTTAATCATAAGAATATGAATGTTCAGATGCAAAATCCTCTTCTTTCTCCTCACCAGAATAGTTTCAATGACGCATTACAGCTAGCTATACGATACAGGATGTAAAAAATCTTCTCTTCTTTCTAGTTAAATTTTGCTCACCTAATTAGCATAACTAGGGTTTTTTTTTAATTGCTTAACCCTAAATTGCTCATTCTGTTTCTAGTTATGTTATCTTACAACAGAAAGTGGCTCGAAGAACTGATGCTGCTGTCTGGCAACAAAAGCTTATCTTTCTTGCAAACTTGTTAGAGGCCAAACTAAAGGAGTTTGGCCAAATCAGAGGTTCCTAAACTCCTCATTTGTTAAACTCATTACTTTGGGCTTACCAAAAACAAATTATGTACAGTGCCTGTAACACTCTTCTTGATGATTTTTTTGTTCAGGTGGAGTACGCAGATTTACGAGATCTTGAAGTACGCGTAAATTCTATTTTGAAGGATCTCCGAAGACGCAATTCTCAGCGGCCTACTTGTCCTCCAAGTAATGTTGAAATGAGCGGTTCAGATGGAATCAGCGCATTGCCGGATTCTTTGATAACTCAGATACTCTTAAACCTTCCTACCAAAGATTCGGTTAAGACGAGTGTTTTGTCGAAAAGATGGAGAAATCTTTGGCTTGATGTTCCAGGATTAGAGTTACACTCCAGTGACTTCCCTTCTTATTCCAAAGAGGCAATCAAGAACTAATTCACTGACAGATTTCTGGACTTAAATCGCGAGTTGCGTCTGCAAAAGTTCAAGATAAAAAAGCAATGTATTTCTCTTTGGAGTCAGCGAATTGATCGCCACAGTGATTAACCGTGGAGCTCAGTATTTAGATGTTGACACACTTAGGTGTCCTATTACCAAAGATTTGATGCCTCTGGACATTTATAAGAAGAAGACATTGGTCTCTTTGAAGCTTGTCAATGTAAGAATGGCGAATCCCGAGTTTGTTGTTTCTCTACCTTGTCTCAAGATCATGCATCTTGAAAACATTAAGTGTAGTAATGAGGATCATTTGATCATGGAGAAGCTTATCTCAGGCTGTTCTGTTCTTAAAGATTTGACCATGTGTAGGGGTTTTGATGATAATGTACCGGTTCTGCGTGTGAGATCTCATACTCTTAAGAGGTTTTGTGTAAGGTCTGGCCTTAGGAGAAGAATCAGTGGTAAAGAGTATGCAGTTGAGATTGATGCTCCGGGACTCAAGTGTATATATATGAACTTCAGAGATGATCTATCTGATAGAGTCGTGGCAAAGAATCTGAGTTCCTTGTTCTTGATAGCCATTGATACTTGTTTTAGTTATGGTTGGTTCACTACTTTGGGAATGAAGAAATGTACTATCCGCGATTTTCTCACCGAGATTTCAAGCGTCAGACATATGATCATCTCTCAGCGTTCTCTAGAGGTATTTCACATACATACTTTGTGATGCATATTATTGAAATATTTCTCTATGAAAAAACAAAAACTGACCTTATCCTTTTCTCTCTGTTCTTTTGGCAGGTCCTCTATATTAAATCAAAACTTGGACCGATTTCCAACTTTCATAACGTATCTCGGTTGGAGGCTTCGTTTTGCACCCTCTTGTTACAAATGTTGCCTGATTTTCTTGAGAGTTTCCCAAATCTAAAACACCTCACATTGGTAATTCTTGTTTAAAAATCTTGCTTAAGACATTGTGGAAGTACAAGTACCTAACTTTGTGTTTCTGTTGGCAGTACCTAGTTTATTTGAAGGAGCTAGAGCCAGAGAATCTTGAACTTACCATTGTGCCTCGGTGTTTACTATCGAGTCTCGAGTGTGTTGAGATTAAAGAAGTGACTACGGGAGAGAAAAGTGGAGTGAAAGGAGTGAGGAACAGTAAGAGAAACAAGCATAAGAAGAAGATTTGGATGGGAGCAGTGAAATATTTTCTTGAGAATTCATTACTCCTCAAGAAACTCATTTTGCGTTTTCTCTCCTACGACCATTTGTGAAATCTTCATTAAGTTGACCATTCTTTGAAGATCCGTGTAGGAAGGAATGTTTAGGCTAGCATTTCAAGGTTCTCTGTTTTTCACTATAAAAGATTTCGAAAATATATAAGAAAATAGCAACAATTTGTCAAAAGGCAAAGACTTTTCTTTCTTCTCTCTAATCCAATAAGCTTCTTCTTCTGCTCGCCATAGTTGACTAAATTTCAACTTTACTAGTTACCATGGAAGAAAACAATTGAAGACTTGCTACATCATCCTCGCCAATTTCATTATTTGTATTATACATTCATGTAATCACCCTTTTTTATGTTCTTTACTAATTCTTGATCAAGTTCTTGATTTTGTTGTCAAGAAAAGGATATTTGATCTAAGATCACCAACCCCTGAAGTTATTGGAGTGTTCTGGTTATGTTGTTGCAGTTTTATTTGAGTCATATCACCAACCTTTTGATAATGTTCTGAAACTTGTGTTTTTCTTTATTTATCTCCAGTGTATATCAACAATGGCTGCATCATTAGCCAATGAGAAATCGAATTTTCCTAGAACCGCAACATCGTTTCGCAACTTTGTTTCACGAAATCTTGATTCTCAGTTTCCAGCAGAATCAGGACGATACCATCTTTACATTTCCTATGCTTGTCCATGGGCTTGTAGATGTCTGGCAATCTTGAAACTCAAAGGACTGGACAAAGCAATAAGCTTTTCGGTTAGTGAAAATCGGTTTTTGACACATTCATTTCGATTGTTTTCGCCTTTCGGAACATACTATGATTGGTTTGTGTAATCTTGTCCCAAGTCTGTTCAACCACTTTGGAGAAAAACCAAAGAAAACGATGAGCATATGGGATGGGTTTTTCCAGATTCAAATACAGAGGTTCTTGGAGCTGAGCCAGACCATATCAATGGTGCGAAAAGCGTAAGAGAACTTTATGATATCGCTAGCTCGAACTACACGGGCAAATACACTGTTCCTGTAAGTTCTTTAATCCATTGTGTGGCCTATTCTCAAGTCTTGTCCTGTATTTTTATCAAACATTTGGATTTTGGTTTCTTTACGTGGTAGGTTCTTTGGGATAAGAAGCTTATGACTATAGTTAACAATGAGAGCTCTGAGATACTCCGAATGTTTAATACCGAGTTCAATCATATTGCGGAAACCCCTTCTCTTGATCTTTATCCTCCAAATCTCCGATCCATAATCGATGAGACTAACGAATGGATTCACGATGGGATAAATAACGGTGTTTATAAATGCGGTTTCGCTACAAACCAAGAAGCCTATGATGTGGTAAAGCAATTTATTTTCAATATGCTACTTTGGTTTCAACAAGTAAATTTGTTTTCTCTTTGCAGGCAATGAAGCAACTGTTTGAAGCATTGGACAAATGCGAAGAAATACTTGGAAAACAACGGTTTCTCTGCGGAAATAATCTAACCGAACCAGATATCCGATTATTCGTCACTCTCATAAGATTTGACGAGGTTATTATTAGCTCAATTGTTATTCCAATCTACTGTTTGTTCTTCAGTTTACCATTATGTATTGAGAATTTGTTTTTGCAGGCTTACACAGTGATCTTCAAATGCGATAAAAGACTCATACGAGAGTATTCAAACCTGTTTAACTACACAAACGATATCTACCAAATCGCGGGATTGAGCAGTACAGTGAAGATGGATCATATAAAGCAAAATTATTTCGGAAGCTTTCCTTCCATTAACCCTCTTGGGATTATAGCTCATGGACCAAACATTGATTACTCTTTGCCTCATAATCGACATAGATTCTCTTCATAAATAGAACCAAAACTTTTATGTATCAATAGTATCCTTTGTAATGACAGATAAACTAAGCAGCTATCTCACGTTTTAATCGAATCGCAAGTCTATTTTGAGGAAAAATAATATATAACAAGAAAGTGAGATTGTCATTCCTCATCACGAGTTACAGGTTTCGTTGGAAGACTTTCTCCACGCTTTCGATGATTCTGTGATTCTCTTTCGTAAGGAGGAGGCAACAAACGTTGTACATCTGCAAAGAGATCTTCACGCCCAGTCGACTCTTTGACAACAGATGAATCAAGGACAAAGTCAGGTATTGCCGGTAACACTTCGTCCAAGAACGACTTCAATGTCTGCGAACATAAGAGGTGAGTTAACAAGGTGATAAGATTTTGGTAGCAAATTAGCAAAGAAGAGCGCCAGCGAATTGACTAACGGTGCAATGCAAGAGAGCAGCATCGGTTCTACGTTTATACTGGCCATTTCCAGGTTCCGCGTGGAACAGATTGATCAATGGCTGCAACAAAGGTTTTGCTCACGTTATAACACTTGTGTCACCAGATAATAACTTGGAACACAGAGCCTTGGAAAAACCATTACCCTCACTATATCACGAAGATTTGGTCGGCCTTTTCCATATTTCCCGAGAACTGACTCCCCATATACTTGATATTGTTCAAGAACCTAAAAATCAGCAAAACACATCACACGATGCAAATCAGATGTCAATCAAAATTGTGGAAGAATCTATTTCAATGCATCACTCCAAAACCTGTCGTCTTGTAATCCCGCTGCTTGGAGATCCATAAATTACAGTATCGACATGTCCCAAAATGTGCCACGGGCTGTGCCAACATAGATTCCCATAAAACAGTGAAAAGGCAAAAAAAAAAAAAATAGTCCCATATGATGTTTATCAGGGAGTAACACAATACAGCAGAAGGCTTTCACATACTTGTAGTACACAGCACGCCCAAGCATAACGCCATGAGCTCCAGATTTTAATGCGGCATCTGCCTACAGTTCAATGCAGGAAGTTTAGATTTGGTCTTCTAAATTCGAATTGCAAGTTTGGAATCAGAATAAAACGTTTTAGAAAGCTCACCTCAACCACAGAGTTTATGCCTCCATTTATTGTGAACTTCAAGTCCGGAAAATCACGTAAAAGTGCAAAGAAATACTCATATCTGCATTTGAGAAAGAAACTGTGTTATAGCAATATCTTCCAAATAGAAGACCATAAGAGAAACGAAAGCCATATTGCACATACTTCAAGGGTGGAATTCGACGGTTATCTGCCGGGCTAAGTCCAGACAGTAACGCCTTTCGCGAATGGATGATAAAATGCTTCGTAGGAGATAAAGAAGAAACTGTATAAATGAAATCACCTGGATACAAATAACGAATTGAAAAAGGAAAGTGAAGGCAATCAGATATGCAATAAATGAACTCCGCTGAAGTTGTTATCTGCCGTTGTGTACAAATAAACACGAGATATGTCTAAGTGTGTAAGTGGGCATGTGTGAACATAGAGTAGCATCAAACTGCCTTGAGTACACATACAATAACATGTGAGAAAGATGGGTGTAAGGAAAAACTTACAAAGCTCTTGATATGAATCATGATCATCAACACCTATTCGACATTTGACAGTGACCGATGCATTGGTATTGGCAGCAATTACAGACATAGCCTCACCAACAAACTTAGGGTCAAGCATAAGACGAGCACCAAAACAACCTCGTCCACTTACTTTTGGGCTTGGGCATCCACAGCTACAGAATGAAGCAGCATGTCATTATACAAAAGCATAAACGAATGGACATGGCACCAGTTGTTACATCACTCAGTGGTTTTTGAAACTTAGAAACAAATAATCAAAATTAATTTCACCGCTCATACTTGAAATTAATTTCATCGTAGGCGTAAGTATTAGCAAGCCTAGTTGCTTTTGCCAAATTTTCCAAGTCTCTTCCACCAATTTGAAGAACGATGGGGTGCTGTTCCGAAGAGTATGCCAAAAAGCTGTCCTGAGCAGTACAAGAATAAACACGTAAATCAATCCATGACAAATTCAAAAAGGATCAGCAGAGTTAAGCAAAAACAAGAACAATCATCCATTTCTTACCAGATTTTCTTCTTGGTAGACAATGGTTTCAGCTGCTAACATTTCCGTATAAAGCCAAGCATGCTTTGAAATAAGACGTGCTAGGGTTCGGTAGTGATTGTCTGTCCATCCCATCATCGGGGCTATACTGAATACGAATAAAAAATAGAGAAGAAGCTTAATACCATTAGTTGTATTATGAACATAATTATCAAAAAAGTAAATCAGAAACCTCAAGAACATACCTGAACAGAGGAGGATGATAAACATCTGAAACTGTCATGGCTTCTTACCACCTAATAGTTTAGGACCTCCAGATAATGAACTATACGAAGAATGTAAACATTAGCTTCACAAGGAAATATAATGAGTGTTTATGTGGTACACAAGGAAATATAACAGTTCTCATAACCGTCTTTAATCTCTGATATATATATAACATTTCACCATATATGACCTTTTAACATACCACACATGACACAACTTTATCTCTTCAAACTGAGTCTCAGGTTCGTTCTTATGAATTTCTTTCAAAACATGAACATTGCATATAATTCAAGATAACGTTTTCTAACTCAAACTAATCGCAAAGCACTAAACTTGAAGGCACAATTTTAAACCCATA